ATTTTCAAAAAATGAGGATAAAAAATTGTTGCTTTCTCAAACTGGATTTCCGTGTTGATATTCAGATTCGCGTTTATATGTGTCACAATTCCTCTGTAGAGCCTTTTTCGAAAACATCTTCAGATGCAAGTTTTTGGGAAATTTGTAGGTGGAACTATCATTATGCCTTGCAGTGTATTTTTCTTCCGGGGAGCCTCATAGATCGTTTATTTCTTTGAACTGTCTTTTCTTTGTCATATGGTACTACCTATGCAGCTATAGGTCACTTAGTCACCTATACAGTGAAAGCGTTTAAAGTAGAAGTTCCTTGAAATTAATAGTGGAAAGGTTTGCCACCTATCACGGTTTAGTTATTGACATTGAGATCCTTTCTATCATGTGCATTCTTTGAAGACTAAATTCCATGCTTATTCGCTGATTCAATCATTCGGAAGCAAGATTGTCTAGACACAGGTAGAGTGTCATATCAAATGCCATCGAATGCCATTCGAGCGTTCTTGAATGTAGCGAAACCCTTGGCAGACCTGATGATAACTTTCAATGATGAAAATCTAACAAACGAGATTCCATGCTTCTCTCCTCTTGTAACGTTTGAAAACTAAATGGATACTATGAGAAGACGTTTTTTGGTCTTTTCTAGATAAAATGTAATATATGGGAGCCTTCGATAAGGAGATAAAGGAGCAAGTCACTGCACGCAGGTTATTGTGCATCAGTGATAAAGGTACGTTTCCCATAGCGCTGTTTCTGTTTCTGAATTTCTCGAGCTCAATTACCCCCTTGGACCGGTTGGCATTTGTTGTTCCGCTTGATACCTATGCGTTTCTCACCGAGGCAGATCATTCTACATCAAACTGAGTACGCAAGTTACTCGTTCCAATCCTACGCTGAGCTTTAAAAGAGCTGCTATGTACCGCTTGATCTGCTATAGTCACAAACGGCTAACGATCATACCACGACGACATCTCAATAATTCTTTGACTTCTCTGCTGAAGAAGGATAGAGATTTGAAGCACATAGGCAAATAATGGAAATGTTGGACCAGAGTGCCTCTCAGATCACAGCGGTCATGCTACGAGCGCTTCTCCTTATAAGAACTATTAATTTATTTAGGTAGGCGTGAACTTTGTATCAGTCCAGAGCTTGAATAGGGTACTGCTGCGCCCTCGCCAACCACTGTTACAGAGATGCAGGGTTGTTTCTTTATAGTTGAAACCTAGACAAAGGAAATGTGCTCAGTCGTGATGATGTTAGACTACTGGAATCTGAATAAACGCGGGCTGCGGGCTGTAGTATTTGGAAATTTATCTTCTCTCTCGCCCCAGTGGATTGCCAAACGAAGCGGAGACTGCGAATGGCAGCTGTACGTGAGCTCTTTTTCCCAGTTCTGCTCGAAAGTCTATCAAAGCTACGGGCTGTTAGCAACTCTATTTCATGTGATTTCTGTGATTTTTTATCAATAGCGTAGGCATTTGTATTGGATAGCATATCCTTTCAAAAAGTGATTTTTATTTAGTGGGTAGCTAGGACAATGCCACGTCGCAAAGGAAGAGGACCCCGATGAAGATCTATACATTGATAAAAAATTTTTATCGTGGTTTTGAATGCGTTGTGTGTAATACCTCTCCCTATGGGGGCGGTGATCATGACGCATGAAGGGTGTGCGGTTTCGGCGATTTGTTGGATGTCATTTAATGGATTGGCGTTGAGAGTCCCATCCACGCCCCCAGCGAGATGTGAGGTCTAGTCCTCCAATGACGTGCCATACTGTCATCAAAACCGATCAGTCCTTGCCGTCATTATTATTGCCTTTGAAGGATTTCTTGTTCAAAATTGGGACTACGGTATCTAACTATTGCACCTGCGGCCTCATCTGTAATATGTTGTCGTGAGGTGAGCTCGCCTCCGCTTTGAAAAGTTGCGTGGGGTGGGTTGAGAAAAGTTGTGTTTGCGAAAAGTAAGCTTTTTGCACTAGTGCTCTTGACTGAAATTGTAAATGTCATCCACATAACTGGCCGCAGCTAGAGTCATTTCATACCGACAACACTTCGTTTTACAGGTTTTCGGAGTCATTTGCAGTTGTTCGCTTTCGGACACCTTTCATCTTGATTCCTTCTTCGAATGAAATTTCCTGGCTCCTTGCTCTCCACAACGTAGTCCAACGCGTCCAGCGAAACATGGCGGTCAGGAAGAGGTGAGTAAGTACCAGAAAGGTTGACTAAACTCACTCCCATAGACATAGCACTCCATTTGGAAGGTTCCGATGATTTTAACGACCATGTTCTTCAATGAGACTGCGCCGCTCTCCAGTCATCGTGATCACTTTGTTTTTCTTGTTTCAGGAATGGTGAACCACACAAAATCTTCATTGCTGTTCAAATTTTACATCTTAACCCTTAGACTACGACTTTTTTGGAATGGAGTTATCGATGTGTTTTGCGTAGCAGCTTTCCCTCCTAGCAACAATAAACCATCTACAGAAATTTGGCTGCCGTACGTTGGATTTGACCTGGAATTTGATCCAGGACCACACTTGCGGGAGCAGCTACCCTTCTAACTGCACCTCCTAAACGAAAAATTTCGGAATACGATTTGATTGATTAGTGACCGTTAGCAATTTTACGTTTTGGTATTGAGAGTGTCACCTTTATTATTTAGAGTGTTAATACAGCTGTCATGCGAGACGCTCGTATTTTTCTTGGTTTCATTTTCTATTTTTGTTTGAAATGATCGGGCCTGCTTCAAAGGTACTCAGCAGGTGTGATTATGGAGCTAACATTTACCTCACTCTGTTCTTTGATGTAATTTTGTTTTCCAATAACTGTTGGATTAAATGGGAATGTGGGGACAGCCTGGACCGCAAACTCTACGTGACAACGATGACGGCATGATGCTGCTTCGCAAAACCTTGGTCCATTATCCAGTGAATCAAGAGATGATCTGAGCCGGCGGCGAGGTCTGAATGCCACTGCAGCACTATTGAGTAAGCATGTTACGTAAGGTGCAGCACGACTCGAGCCCAAGAGAAGATGTTGAGGTGAAGCAGTTTTGTACAGTACCGCTGAACAATGGTGCTCAGCACACAACCTAATTTGTTTTGAAGGCTAACCGATGAAGTTGTGTATTAGCTTTGGAGAGTCGATCGATAAATAGTGCATGACGAAAACAGGCATTCCTATGAGGACTTAACGTTGACGCTGTACAGATTATGTCAAGTTCCTTCTGTCTTACAAACTTGTTTTGCACGTATGAGAGCTGAGAGATGGAAAGTTTGGATGAAATCTGGGACCCATAATCAAACTGTCACGTCTACGAAACTTCTTCTGCTTTCTCTATTGCAGTGCTTAATGGGGCTATATCATGACTCGAGCTTCAACTGTACAATAAGGTCATCCGAAATATGCCACTTGATTTCGGCTTACAGTTACAGAAAGCAATAGCAGAAGCATACTATATTTATTGGGTTATGAAGCAGCAGGTGCCAGTCGACGATACTAATGAAAAACGGAAGAGGAACCAGCGAAAACCTTATAAGATAAGACCTCTTTCTCTCTGTGCGGTACGGACGCCAGGATTGGCCGAGAAATGAGGTAACATGAAGGACGGGAGACTGAGTGCTCGTATATGCAACTTTGACCCTTCGTAGCTGCCCGAGATTTGCGTTATTGCAAATCATAGCTCCTGATGTGCTTGCTTTCTTTTAATGAGAAAGCTGCACCTTCTGCACTAACTTATATTCAGCTGCTCCATCCACAAAATTTTCTCGAAAAAGCTCATCATAGGCTTGTTTTGTTTGTTAACTTTCATTCTTAACGCCGCAGTTCGCGTTGCGAATGTCTTCACAAGAATGCTGGGTTGTGAACAAAACTTTCGCCCCAGGCGGGACTAGAACCCGCGCCTCCCGCTCATCGGGACAAGATTATATTGTTCCCTTTGGGCGCTCGAATACCGTAACCCGCGGTGGCGCCGGAGCGCAGCTGCAAGCCTCCAGCGTGCAACGCTAGCATTAAGGCAGCGACTGCAGTTGGTGAGACTACCCCGGTTTCCCAGGGCAGCAACCCAAAATCGGAGGAGCGTCGCGACGTTCGCCTTGCCGCGCAAGCGACGAGGCGGACGTTTCGCGTGCGGCGGTAGGAGAGGTCATCCCTTGGGTGCCGCTTCGTCGTACGCGAGGCCAACCCGACATGCGCGCCATCCTCCACCTCCTGCATGAACGGCGCACGGTATAGTTCGCGGGTTCGCTCGACACATTTCTCTTCGTTGAGAGGACGCAGAGAAAACGAGAACTGGGAGGCGAGCACGCACGGAAAATGATGACACGAAATATGCGAGACAAATTTGCGCGTGCGGTAGGGTGCTTGTTGTGCGCCTGCACCAATAACATCGAACCTAACGGCGAATTTTTCGCGTGTTGGGTTACGGTACGCAAGCGCCCAAAGGGAACATTATAATCTACTACACTCATCGGGCAGATTTGCCACCGTACTCCGCTGAGCTAGGGCAAAACGGTGCTCCGGCAGCGAAACTTGTAGCGCACTTGCCCAATGAGCGAGAGGTGCGGGTTCGGGTGCTGCCGGGAACGAAAGAAGAACGTTGTTGTTCAGAACCAGCATTCTTGTGTAGTCATCACGAAGTGTTTCCGATGCGACCGCGGTAATAATATTTGTTTTTATTTAAATGAAGCTACGCATCAAGTTTTTTTTTTACAAATTTATTCCTGCAAACACGAAAATACACAGATCCCTTCTTAGAACTGAAAAGAAAAAAGAATACAAAAAAGCTGGCTACATTTATGATAAACACATTTTACGTTCTGGAGTAAACATGTCAACAGATCACTTGACTAGTACACTGCAGTGAGCGTTTTCCCTGCTCGGACACCGTTGGCTTCCGATGTCACGATAGACCGTTGGCTTTTCGATATGTCCTCGGATTTCGTTACACCACAACAGAAAATGAATTCCAAATTGCTCTTCAGTTTATTTAATGTCTGTCGGAAATCACATACGAAGAACATTATCGCAAGAGGGTCGACGACCGTGTAAGTAGTCACAATCAATGGCATAAATGCGTATATTCTGAAAAAAAGAAATAAACATACTCATAAGAAGGTGTTCATATCCTTAAGAAGACGTTCAAAACGCGGCATCCAAAACCGGTCGTAGGTGACACTAGGACTAAGCTGGGGATTGAGATTAAACACGGTAGTAAACTAGCCAAACTTGCACGTTAAAGGCATGCCCCAGGATCACATTGGTGTGGCTCTTGTACACGAATGCGAATGTATTGGTGCGAAGTGGGCCGGCAGTGAAGAAAAAAGGAAAAGAATCCGTCGAAAACGCTTAGGTTAAGGGCTCACTCACCTTCCTAATCGGCTGTGCTAAGGGAATGAGAGACTAAGCGCGGAGAGGAGAGTATGAGGCGAGAGAGCGCTACAGATGAGAGAGCGCCAGACAACAGCCTGATAAGAGAAAAAAGGCTGCGCGCTCTTGTCGGTTGGTTTCCGTGCACGAGAACGCCACATTTGTGATTGTCCCCTAGGGGTCTATACTACAGACCGAAGGAAAGCGTTCACACGACCTCTGCCTGGGTTGTGCCTTTAAGGGCAGTTTTAATGAGCACGTCACGTGGAGAGCAAGTTTTTCCGATGATGGTGGAAATCGCTTCTATGGCACCTAGGAGACCTATCTATCTATGAAACTCTGAAGAAAGCTTCCCAGGTGAGCTGCAGCTCCCTGGCAGGGTGGTTCCTTGTTACGCGCCGTAAACGCGCAGGAAGGCTCGCTGGCAGAAAACGGGACGCGGAGGGACGAAATACAATGTGTTTGGAGAGACGCAGGTGACGCCCGTCACGCAAAGCAAGTTGCTGAGTTGGCCAACTTCAAACTGCCAGCTGCGTGGGTCAAGCACGGTGTTGGAAAGGGAAAGGGAAGCACCTTGCATTGATTCGTCAGTGGTGTAGCGCCTGCGGTCTACGTTGGTGTTGGATCAGTCGCGGGATCAATACTACGATAAGTCTAAAGGTTTGCAACCTTCGTAGGCTATTCCCTTTTCTCTACAACCCTTTCACCGCCGATAAGAAGGGCTCCTTAGTGCAGTGGTAACGATGCCGCTCATGGGACGGTGCACCGAAAGTTCGAACCCGTGTGTGACGCAAGGTTTGCAGGCTCACCACTTCCACCATGCAAATTACCGATGGCTCAATAGCAACGTGCCGCTGGCAAGGCTGCTGGATTATCTGGAGTCTAAGATTTGCAAACAACATCCGTTGCTTACCTTGTTGTCAAGACCTCTTCCGATGCTGTGATCGAGTGATCCCTGGTGCACTGGCAAAAACCCGGCTTTGAGTCCTGTCATCCAGGGTTCAAGTCCGAGAGTGGCGCAAGTTTTGCAGGTAGTGTGGCGAGGCTGGCGGTTTCAAGAAGGGTCAAGTCCATGTTTCCACGTTCCCTATTCCTCGTCAATGGATGAAAATCACCACATTTGATTGCCAGTCTAGGGCACTTTACTACCGGCCCAGGGAGAACGATGGTTGCTCTCATCCTCCCTCAGAATCCTTTCCCTTATCTCAGGTTTGGTCTCAGTTTTTATTAGTGACCCATTCCTTCATTTCATAAGGTAATGATGCGCCCATGGACCCTCACTGCTAGTCCATATACTAGCTGGCGTCTCAATTCACATAGATCAGAAATGCACTGCGTAGTCAGGGTTACTAACGTAACTTTGACAAATAGGTGCTTCATTAAGTGTGCAGCGAGGGTTTACAGGCAAGGGTTCATAGAATTGGGGTAGGACCATAACGTAAGGTTTTCGCATCTAGAGCAATGTCGTTTGAGCAGTGGGCATTATCATGTTCATTGCTCTTAAGGTTTCTTCATTGGCGCTTCGGATTCCTCTTTTTTACTGCAAAGACGGAAGTTTTAGAGGCTTCTACGACCTATAGGTGTTACATCAAGTTCTTGTGCAGTCAATCACGAAAGTCATGCCATCCCAATTGAAAACTGTTACTATTTCGAAGGCGGCAGTACTTGCGTTCGTGACATTGATGCAAATGACTTACTGGTAGTGACGGGAACAGTCCATTAATGACTGCTACTATTAATCACAGTTTCGAGATAGTATGACGTAGAATGGATAGTCGAGTGGCTGAGCTGTGTGTTATGTGCGGCGAGTGCCTAAAAGGTCGAGTGGAGAAGTGTGAACACGTTGGAACATGGAGAAGTTCGGTCAACAATTACCGGCACAACTAGGCTTTTAACTTGGTTGAACTTTTTCGTATTTTTGGCTCTTGGAAGGACGGTTTGTCAAGTCGCGTACATGTGACACGCAAAATCATGAGAGCAAATGGGATAAGATCAGTCGTGAGCGATCTCGAGGCTTTTGTGACAATGATTGTTGTGCGTCGGCCATTCAATTCCGTAAAATAAGATTTCTTTTGGAGTCCAAGCCATTTTGGAAAATTGGTCGATCAAAGCTTACGTGGGTGAAGATGCAAAAGAAAGACAGGCTGTGAGCATCTTCTCCGAACTTGGCGTAAACCGATGAGTTGGCGTACTTGTAATAATGGTCCCTAGCGGCGAAACAATAGAATGTTATAAAGCCATAAATTAATCCCCATGAGAGTACGGATAAAATAACAACAGTGATGGAGGTAGTTTGGTGAAAAATACGCAACAAATGTTGCCTGAAATTTTCATTTTCGGCCTGTGAAGCGATATAATGGAGCCTGATTTGATATTGCTCTACTTGAGAGTACTCATTTCTCACAATCTCTTTTTACATGCCGATTTCCCTCATTTTCCATCACATGTATGTAGAAGGTGGTGCTGGAAGCACACCTTCCAAGAGCTAAAGCCCGTGACTGTCATAAAGTAAACTATCCATCAAAGGCAAGATTCAGGGCAAAATAGATGTGAAAAGCGTTCAGTTATAAAGCTAGAGGTGGGAGGTGGTCTGAAAAGAGAAGGAAAGCAAACGACACCACCGGTTACGCTCCGCAATTTGATCAACCCTGCGTTGCGCAGTTCGCAACGGCACGTTGAGAGATCCTCAACGCACGCTGTATGGGCGGAGACACAGACGGCTCGAGCATGCGAGTGTGAATGTTCGCGTGGCCGTTGAGAACTGCGCAACGCACGGTTGACTCTGCTCGCAAACAGACCTCCACTATTTCAGCCGCATCCCACTGGGACGTGTTTCACGAACCTGACTCTAGTTGCTCCAGTGCCAATCGCATTGGGTTGGGACCGCTGCCTCAAATGCGCCCGCGCTTTTCAAGCAGCGCCACGTGGCAACCGACAGCGGAGGGTGGGGCTTGCGGACGAAGGTGTGAGTTGCGGGTCGGACGAGCTCCTTGTCGCGCACTTTCAAGCGGCAAAAGGGGCGCGACATCAACGCTTGTCCGCCTGTCTACTACCCCCGGGATGGAACAGGCGAGCGCGCCTAATCCCGGAGCGTGCCTTTAAATCATCAGTTTAAGTGGAACGGTGTCGCTTGGTCTGGTGGGATTTATAGAGTATTTATTGATAAGGAAGACCCACTCCAGGTCGCTATTAACCCAAATACACATATGGGAATCATTGTGCTTGAATGAGTAAGCAGTATCATAAGTTTCTACACCATCATTTTAGCTCTATCATTTTCCATAATTCGCCGCTGCTTGGATTCAATATCAATACCATTTTGTATTATTTTCAATGAACGGCTAGCGTCACTTTGAGCAACACCAACCTGCAAACAGCTACATATCTGTAGGCGAAATGGAGTGATAAGAGAGCTGTGGTGACACCATACATGCCTATAAACACACAGAGCGACAGAAAACCCCATGGCTTCATATTCTGAAGGATACCGTGGCTGAACGTCATGAGCGAAGTTCCGTAAATGAAAATACCCTGAAACAATATGAAACATCAAGATGTGAGGCAAAAATTTCATTGCACTCATTCACTTGCAAAATGGAGACGACCTCACTCCGCATACATTCTTCCACATAGTCCGATGTCAATGTTTGCGAATCGCGCGATTCGCTAGCGTCTGCGGTCGCGTCGCGGCCAGTGAATCACTCAATTGGCTGGTACCGCAACGCGACCGCGGACGCTAGCGAATCGCTCGATTCGCAAAGTCTGGCGTATTCCATATAATTTTCCGCTCTTAGCGCTGACAACAGTTTCCGCGTGAATTAACATTATCATTTTTGGAACTGATGAAAAGTGGAAGACGTTCTGAGAGACGTTCGAGCTGCTTCAGTGAAGTATAGCTTTGACTCGCGTTTTCTTCTTCATGACTCGATATTGAAAACGGGCGGTTTGAGAAGAACTCACAGGTTTGGCAGTGAATTCTGCTCCGGCGAAGACAATATTGCACACTGCAAAACATGTCATGATATTTTTGTAGACTTGACCTACAGCGCTTTTCGTTCCGTGTCTTATCGCATAGATAAAAATGATATTCAACGTTGTTCCCAGAACCAGTATAAACGTAGAAGTATAAGCAACAAATTGCTGCATGTCCACCATTTCTGAAAGTAAAATATGGCACTTCATATAATATGTACATAAGTCAAGTTTGAAACAGTAATGCGCACGAATTTCGTATCACGAATGCTTTTCCTGATTCAAGAGAAAATTTGTGAGAATGGATGCCAATTTAAATGTGCTTGCGATGAAGTCTTGCGACTGACCAGTTAAGGCAGATTAATTGGAAGCAGGGTCAACCCTATCGTTGTTACTCTTTGGAAATTTTTTACGACCCCTTCATGGGTGATTTGATACGACCCCCCTTGTATGTGACACTTGTGTAGAGACAGTGTTTACCATCAATATTTATTTCTACGTAAGTCATCAAAGATGAAACTTTAGCAAAATCCACGACAGATATTCATCGCTGCTTGCAAACACGAAAAAATGAGATGCATTCAAAGATATCCGTGTACTCCAAAGGGTTACCAAACTAGAACCAGTGACCGGAATATTGACAATATTACCTGATAAAAACTTATGAGAAGTCAGAAAAAATTATCGCTCCAATTGAAATACTGAAATCCTTCACGTTCTTCAATTGAAACACTGAAATCCTTCACGTTCTTCAATTGCAACACAATTTTTACACCCCTCTTTCTAAGGCTATAACTTCCTTCATATTCGAGCTTCTGCGCCGAAGTGATTTGATTTGGAAAATTCAAATTATTCTCTCTCCAACCATGGGTAAAAAATTCTTCGAAAGTTAATTTAATAAAAATTTTGGAACCGCGACTTTTTTACCTTTAAACGATCATAACTTCCTTCAAAATCATTCATTTGGGAAGCTGAACACGGTATGACAAACTACAGGATTCAAGCTTTCTTACGAGCACCCAAACGTTCCTGAAAAGTCAGCAGTTCAAAAATTAGTCCCGTTGTTACTTTTTTTGAGGGGTATTTCTTCAAGCCATTTTCCCGAAACGCGGGTTTTCTTAGGTCCTGCCCGTACTTCTTGAAGACAATGCACGTTCAACTTATGGATGTGCCTAGAATAATCGTCTGGAGTAGTTGCGCTTGCACCAATCCCTTTGGTGCGGCCTCTCTGTCGGGCCGCTGATTCATTTGAAAGCTCATTTAGAGGGAAGCGTGGTTTATAGATGCTCTAGTATCAGTCATCTTACGAAAACGTAACGTGCTGGCTATTATCCGATATTACCAAGAATCCCACTGCCGGCCACCGAGAGAGTACGACCCCCCTCCAAGCTCAACTGAGTACGACCCCCCCGTTGTTACTCGTAACAACGTAGGGTTGACCCTGATTGGAAGTGAGGAACAAAATTTAGTGACCGAAGTGAAAGAGCAGGTATTAACCAAGTCAAGACTTCAGCTACTACCGTTTCCCATGTAGGAAATTAATGAAAGTGAGGTATTGTGCATGTATTCTGCAGCGCTTTTTTGGAAAACATGATTTGTAGCGAATTTTCTCACCGAGTCATCGGAGCAGACGCAATTTCGTACAAATCCGCTTCAGATAATACAATACATCAACGAAGTAATTGGAAATGTCTGAGCTAGTTTCTTGTTATTCTCACCGATGATTCGGTAGCGGCTAGACTGGTCAACTTCCATAGATTCAGTTACCGGAATATGTATAATATAGAAGAAGCGCAGATTAGAAGCTGAGGAAACGGAAGAAAGGAAACTCAGGAAAAACTTGAATCTAATGAACAGTCGATCAGTGGCGAATTTAAGTCTCATAGTAGAGACGTAAAACCAAGTAGGCGTCACCAAATTCTCCTCGGACCCGAGCAGAAATTGGGTCTATTTGAGTCCGAGACAAGAGCAGCTTGTGGAATTCCGAAGTCCTGAGCATCTTTTGTAGGCTCGGATCGGCTGAGCTCTTACCAGACACAGAAGCATGAAGTCGACTCCTTGAACACGATTACGTCCGGAAACTTTGACTGGCACCAACTGAACATTCACGATTTTCGAGTAAGCTATTGTCTGAATGCTTCAATTCTCTGGGAGTCTAGCTTTTCTTAATTAACTTTATTGACAAGAAGGGATGAAGAAAAGAAAGCTCCAACTCTTCAAACCTTCGGATAGTTCGCATCGCGATTTTGTTTACATTAAAGCTTTGGAACTTCCCTGAATGGCGTTAATAAACCCCTTTTCTGTGCGACTCAATGAAAGCTTCAAGATAAAAATTGATCTCGAGCAATGGTAAGGACTTCGTCCGGATAATTGTGGCGACCCAGGAGTCTGGCGGGAAGAGTTTCCAAAAACGTTCTGTGAGCGCTTGCGGTTTCCGCAACTCTCGATCGCCCTACACATGACAGAAAAATACCACTTTTCCATACGGGAATTCTCTTCGTTGACATCATCGGACTGGTCAAAATACTCTAAGCAGACGATAGGAGCGCTCAGGAGAATCAATTAATCTGATAGCGAGTTGGTCCCTACCATGGGGATCACGCTTACTAGTGTTGTGCGTACTGGCGTTGTTTTGAAGAGGGACAGTTTTCGCTGCTCTTCAAAACACGAAGGTAATTCCACAAGAGTTTCATGTTCGGAAATTCGTGATGAACTCTGAGAGGTTTCTCTGCTTCACCTGAGATAACATATCCGGAGAAAACAATGGAAAAGCAATGGAATTCACAATATTGACTTGAAAGGTGTTGGCTGAATGAATACGGTTCTCGCAGCTTCAGCCTACCCTGTTGTATCAACAAACACTACTGTTGGCAGCTTAGAAGTGTTTATGTGAACCAGTTTACCTTGAAAATTGCTTTACACAATTAAGTGCTTTGATTTTGAGTGTAGTGCAATCGGCGCGCGCGTGGAGCTGCGTCAACAAAGTAAAAAGGTAACAATTTCAGCGACACAGCGGCACAGCTTAAACACTTCTTGAAATTAAGAAAAAGGAATTCAGTGCTCTTCACACAGGTAAACCGAAGAAATACAATCTGTTTATGGATAGTATTAGGCATCAATGATTTCGAATAATATGTGTCTGTGAACTTTCCGCTTGTGGGTAAAATACTGCTCAAATGTGTTAACTTTAAGTCGATGACTCTCATTTTATAACGATTTGGTTTCTGACTAATTATTGTAGCGCACCTACGAGTGCATAGTAAATAAATAAATAAATAAATAAATAAATAAATAAATAAATAAATAAATAAATAAATAAATAAATAAATAGTTTTTTCTCGATTTTTACTCAACCTGAATTGACTCTGTGACCTAAAACAAAATTTTGCTGCTTTCAATTTGAGCTTAGATCTTTTAGATTTTATTGGAAAGATCACGTGTAATACGGGAATGTTGCAGCATCCTGATAAGATGGAAATTCTGAAAATGAAATACCAAATCAATTGACAAATACTCCACTAAAGACAAACTCGAAGTGGTGGGAAACAGTTCAGAGCTTCTCTTCACTTCATTCTCAGGAATATCGCTCTTGCCGAAATTACTTTTTACATGCAATGTGTGATGATCCGCTTTTGAAGAGGAGCAGTTCTTCACAACAGCACGCTTGAAAGTCACACGATAGTATTGAACGAAACACTTTTGCAGTCGTTCCATTTTTCAGTCACTTGAATTTTACGAGTTTCGCTGTTTTGCGATAAAAAGAAAAAGGATAAAGCATTTGCCGTTGATCAATCCCTTTTTGGGATGCGGCACGCATTCTACTTCCATTTGTACATTCGTAGTGGCGTTTGAATGCGATGTGGCCTATACAATGACTTGCGGGGGCCAGCCGATGTTCAAGTCAGTGTTTTTATCCTCCCAGACAAGTCTGGTACCAATTAACCGACCCCGGAGGGATGGAAGGCTTGGTTGGCCCGGGCGACTCACGACCCAGGATTTGATCCCCGGACCGCTCGCGTGGTGAGCGCCACTTGTCACTACACCACTTCCGCCCATCCCTCGGCAGTATAGTGGTGAGTATCCGCGTCTGTCATTTGGTTCTAAACTTATATTCTGCAACAGCTCAGTCTTTGTAAGTTCAGGGCAATTTTGGCCTGAGTTTCAGTTCCTAAAACATTTACCTCCTTTTACACGGTAGTCAGCGATCCTATCGTGATCTTTTGACTTGATAAAGATCTGAGCACTCTGAACAACACCAGAAGGCGGAATTCAGAAGAAGCACATTTGAAAAAAGCTTGAACATGAGAGCATCCGACGCGGAAATCACCTTTATTTTACGAGTATTGGAGGTCCCTCATAATGACCCGTTAGACGCTTCTATGCGGCCGTGTCGGAGCTCTTTATGCGATGCTTAGGGAAATGGGAAAAGGTGGCAAAATGCTTCGTTTGAGCAAACAAGACACATTATTGTGTTGTTGGGAACAGCCTTCGGCCGAACATGGCTCTCTTATTCAATACAAAACGATACGATTATATTTACTTGGCAAATCATGGTAATACGCTACAACAGATTCGGAAGGCGCTATGTCGAAGGGACATTGAATTCATTGAATCAGGGCTGGGGAGGATTGCAGGCCACAAAGCATGATTTTCTTGACTCGGGGGGAGGCTTAGCCATTGCGCTGATCTTGAGCATTTTATTGCTCAGGGAACGATTAGACAATCTTCACCTGCCTAACCAGCAGCTAGACAATAACCGGCTTAGATGCGACATCTTCCCACTCAATAAGTAATAATTATCACTTGAGGTTGAACACTAGAAAGCTGAGATTCTTACTAGCAACTTAGAGTCAGCGATTTAAAAGGTGGACGTGCTTCGATCTGCGACCTTATGAAATCTTACTTCAAGCATTCAGCAAGTTTACCGGAGGCTTGCATAAATATTTTGACTATGCGTTGCCAGTTGTCAGGACTGTTGAGTGTCTTATTGAATTTTTGAGCTTTTTCAAAAAGCCGAATTGTTCTTATCGTTAGACTTCAACAAAACT